GTGTGTGTGTGTGTGTGTGTGTGTGTGTGTGTGTGTGTGTGTGAATTATTTCACTTTGGTTCCAGAGAATACTCAAAGGAACTGTTGAACGTGCCCCCCACTCACTTGCCTATTTTACATGCTATATTTTATTATTTTCTCTCTGTCATTAACAATGCTGCTAGCAGTAACTGTCTCAATGCTGAAAATGATGCTTATGTATCCAGAGATAATGTGTGCTCTTTATAAGTATTAATTAAAAATGGTCTCACATGTTTTTTATAATTATTAACTCTTTCTTAAGCAAGAGGACTGGGGGTGGGGGGCAAAGAAGATGTGCACCCAGAGTTGTAGAAGCAGATGATGGATGGGCTCAAGCTCTGTTTGGCTCCTTGTGCTTCAGATTTTGTAGACTTGGAAACAAGCCACTGTGTAGCCCAGCCAGGTGGAGGTTAGCTTGAGGTAAAGTTCAGACTCTTATGCTATATTATATGAAGGACATAAAATTTCAAGTAAAATTAAAAATAAATCAAATGACACTTCATCATATAAAAAATCATTAAGACAACTGTTGAACTGGTTCCTTCAGAACAAAACAGTTTGTAGTCTAAATACATGAATTGGTTTTGAGCATATCTGACATAGGACTAAATATTTTTGTTTGATACTTTTTGAGACAGCGTCACTTGGTAGCCAAGGCTGACCCTAACTCCCATGAAACCCATGCTGGTCTTGAACTAGCAGTAATCCTCTTGCCTCAGATGCCTGAGTGATGGAATGGCACATGTGATACACAGATAAATTTGCTTAGGTGGCTGCTGAGAGTCTTCAAAAGGGATTAAACAAACTGCATAGACATTTTTCCGAGGTAGAGAACTTTCGAATCATTCTACAGTTTTTCATTATTTTAAAATGGTACGTTGATTAAAAACTCCCTGTAAGTATTGATATGCATTTTTCTCTATTTGTCTTGGAAAAGTTCTTGCCAGTAGCCTCAGTCCGTACCATGAAGGAAGATATATGGAGCAGCGGCTGCGGTCTTCATCTGAAGGGACGGCAGGGAGCGGCAGAATGGTCTTAAAGCCGAAAGAAGGGCATGCAGAGGCCAGCAGCTTAAGAAAGCACAGAGCTGGGTCCTCATCCTCCAAAATGAACAGTCTGGTGAGTCTGTCTGTCTGCCTGCAGATAATGAGTAATGCTCTGTGCTCAAGGCTGCTCACCCCTCTTGCAGAATGGGCACAGAGTGAATGGAAAATTCAGTTCCATAATCGATGTTGCCAATCAGAATGGCTAAACTTTTACATGAGAGTCTCATGGGATAGAACAGATAACAGTGTGCCAGGCAGCAAACTTCTCGTGTTTTGGGGGAAATTGTTTCATTTCTGTTTTAAAGCCAGGCCCATGCTGACCATGGAGACACCTTAGAAGCCATGTTTTACATGCATTTCTACTCCTTGACCACGCTACTTGGTACCTTATGCTGTTGTTGCCTTATGGCCCTCAGTGGCTTCTTTCACTCTGGGTCTTCTCTCCCAGGGTGAACAAGGTGTAGGAGCTGTGGGAGACACTGCAATCTTCCCACTCGAAGCTATAACACATTCTTAGTGTAAGTGCTGAGCTTGCTAATAGGCTGAGGGCTTGTGTGGGGGTGTGGATACCTCATTTTGGGTCAGCTTAGATCCTAAGGTAACATGGGGTTGTAGGGAAATCTTGGTTCTTGGTGATAGAAGTTGTAATCACTTCTCAGTGAGGAGCCTTTCCTTAATCCTGGGGAGATTAGAAACCACTGGATCGAAACTGACCATGTGTGTTTGCGTTTGACCATGTACACGCAGGAAGCTGAGTGCCTGCACGTGGGAAGGTCACACTTCTCATGTTTTTCTCTTTCCTGTATTAAAAATACAGCACCCTTCTTGCAGTTGAACTTTAAACAAGAGAACATGCTTAAGATGAGTTTCAACGAAAGCATTGTTGGAGATCGAAGCTAAAATTGTTACAAAATATTTTCCTCTCTGAAAACTGTATTGTTTCTTTATAGAGAAACATTGTTTCTGTATTGTTACACAAACAGTTTTTCAATCCAGTGGACTTAGGAGTTGGCCCTTGAAACATTTTATATCTGCAATTTTTTTTCTGCCCATACTTACTCTAAATAAATTTGCCGATAACGTCAGCAAACCACTGTCTCCGATCCATGTGTTAGACCTAGAACTTTTAAAATATAAGATCTGGGGTCTGTGTTGAAGTCCAAGACCCACGTTGCCACTAAAGGTCACAAGGAACCCCGGGGGATTGGGGCCACAACCTGTGGCCTTGTGTTTGTGTCCCGGAGCCATGCCTCCACCAGAGACTTTCTGAAATGAGTGGCCAGTACTTCCACCTGGAATCCGGGTGTGGTCTGGGCCCAAGCTGCTTCTAAGGGCCATTTCTGGATCCATGTTCCAGCTACTACAGCTGGAGTCTTTGTTGATGTCTGTGGCCTGTGTCTCCTCAGAGGGCCATAGGAACCATATGTAATGAAATCAAAGGGCCATGCTGAGCCCGGCCCTGCCCTTCTCTGGCCCTTTGATAGCTGGCCCTGCCTTGCTGGACACTGAAGCAAGAGAGCTGGCCTGGACCCTTATAGGAGAGCTAGCCTCTGCCCTTGGGAGAGATAGCCCCACCCCTCACCACAGGTGAGGGAGAACTGACCCTGATGGCCTAGACAAAGGAGAGCTGGCTCTGCCCGGCCCCTTGCCTGAGGCTGGCTGGCCCCAGAGGCCAGGTCTGACCAGTTTAGCGACCTCCTACCTCCCAAGCCCACAGCTGGGCCTTGAGGTTGGCAGCCCACCATAATATCTACCTTCTCTAGGACCAGGACCTGCTGTAGTTTGTGAAGGGGCTGGTCCTGTGGAATGATATCCGCAGGGTCTCCATAACTCAGGGGCAGGGGAGCTGCTGGATATCCCAGAGGAGTTTTAGTGAGGATCCAGTGACTATGGTTACTAGAAACCAGAGGCCTTGAACCAGACAGTGACCCATTGCAATGAACATTTGCTGGTAAAGCTGTTTGAACAAAAGGGTAGATAGACTATGTGACACACTGCTCCCAAACACCAAGATGAATGAAGAGGTGTTAGAGAGGCAGGGAATATGGAGAAGCAAAGAAGAGGTTTTTTGTTTTAGTTTGTTCTTGTTTTTGTTTGATTGCTTGCTTGGTTTTGTTTTGTTTTGATTTTTTTTTCTTTCTTTCTTTCTTTTTTTTTCTTTTCCTTTTGACGGGGTGCTAAAGGGTGAGGGGAGGATATGGGGAGACCTACAGGTGAGCGGAATTAGGGTGCAAGATGTGAATTTCCCAAAGAATCAATAAAGAGATTATGTTAAAAAAAAAAGGATTTTATTCTTTTGTGATCATAGATCGTCAACACGTGTCTCCGCAGTATTAGAAAACCGCCACTAGATGGCAGGACAACACCGTTTTAGTTGTAGTTCTTGTAGATGACAACTCACTATATGTAAAATGGTGGGAAGGTCAGTTTGAGTAAGAGATCTGCAGAGCCTGAGCTGTGTGGAACTCTTGAGGCTTAGAGCTGGGATCTGATAAAGCTACAATGACCTGGTTAAATTTTCAGATAACTATTGAAATAAATAACCAGCACTTTTGAAGTTTTAGAGGTGACTTACCAGAAAGTACTCAATGATTTCACTGTATTGTTTTATTTGACGATTAAGTTTAAAATGTGTTTGATACATCTTTAGTATACAACGCAAGGAAGAAATGCTGCAATATTTTAGGCGATTCTAGCATTGACTAATATGGAGTGTGGTGGAGAAATGCCTTTCTAATAACGCTAATCGGTTCAAGACACAGCTGCTGAGTATGCGGCTCCATGGTCACAGGGGTGGGTGCATTTTGGCATTTAAACTATTATACAGATGCTCATCTGCCTATGTTGCACCATTAGGTGAGGCCTGTGGTTGATGCTGCAAGCTCAATCGGGAAGGCCACAGAATTATGACTTATTCTGTCAGATCATCCACGTGAGATTGTGGTCTTTCTGGAGACTTCCAGGGTCACACCCACACTCCCAGGTCACAACAACACAATATCCAAGAAGCTCAGGAGAGAGTCAGCCTTCTCTGGTTGGTTCTTCCTTCATAAGCTGGTAACTTGAAATACATGTTCTCAGTCACGTGCTGGTGGGAAATCAGGCCTCACCTGCAGGTATCTGTTTAGGTCCCTTTAGAAGCCTTTTGTTTTGATTAGCTTTGGGAAATGAGCCATTTTCATTTAGAAGCTGCCTCCATTAGTTAGAGTTCTTGGAGATGACAACTCACTATATGTTAAATAGTGGGACTATGTAAGTTGTAAGGAGAGAGATAATATGGGGCATGGTTCTGGTTCAGGGTTGATGTTTACAGCTGGCCCATGGCCTTCTTGCTGGCAGAATCCCAAGAGCATCATATGGGATGAGACAGCGATTGTATGAAAGAACTTTGCAAACTGCATCTAAGACAGACCCGACGCCAGGAAAATCCATTGGTCTGTGAATCCACTCATGAGGGGAGAACCCTTATCCGTCTCACATCCCCCTCAGCTCCACCTTTCATTACCTATAGTGGCTATTCAATTTTAATGTGAGTCCTCTGGGGCCACAAACTGTACTGAAACAACAGCGGGCAGCACTGCAGGACGTCTTCAGAAGTGTTCTGACCTTTAAATGGAGACATGAGAAGACCAGGGCTCCTTGCTTTTCACTCTTGGTGCTATGCTTTAATGTGTAAACACATTTTTTTTCTTTTTCAGATATTTTTTATGGGTATGAGTGTATTGTCTGAATGTTATGTGTGTACCTGGTGACTGTAGAAGCCAAAAGAGGGCATCAGACCCCCTAGAACTGGAGTTATAGATGGTTATAAACTGCTATGTGGATGCTGGGAGCCAACCCAGGTCCTCTGCAAGAGCAGCCAGTGTGCCTAACCTCTGAGCCACCTCTCTAGTCCTGTGACTTTTATTTTTAATTGGTCAAATCTCCTACTTCATTTCCTGAGATCGAAACTGCTGTATGTCTTGTGTAGTTGCATCATTGGCTGGCACAGCTTCACAGCTTGTGAGACTGAGGGTTGATGGATTCCGGACCCATTACAAGTTTCTGACTGTCTAAACAGATGCACATTTGGTAAAGCAGGATTGATGATTCTTAAAATAACATCAAGTTCTTAAGATAGTCACTGCAATCTGAAGGTTTAAACAATTATAAAGTTATTTTTGTATCACTTTATTATTACTCTAAATTTAAATACAGCACAATAGCTTTAATATGAAGGGTAAATCTGACTTAAACATATAAATATACTACTGCTGAACAACAAAAGCCAACATAAAAGAGCCTCAAATTTATAAAAAGCAAAATATTTAATATTTCTATTTACACATAATTTTAAAATGGGAGAAATTATTTATGATTAATTCATGAACCACCATACTTGCCATGTCAGGCCTGGCGCTATGATTGACAGATGAACCATGCACAGACAGTTTCAATCTGACAGTGTAATGGCATGTTTGGGCTGTTATCACTTTACTATTTTTATGTTAATCCAGGGACCCTTACACTCCAGTGTCAGACTGCTTTGGCCTCTTCTATTACAGCATCTGTTGTTCTTAGTGTCTTACATCAATTCTGAAACAACTCAAGTGCCCAATTTTTAGCCTTTTCATTGTATATATTCTCAACTAACTACAAAATTATACTTTCTATATGCAGCCAGTTCATTTGTTCTTCTCTCTCCCTGTCTGTCTCTCTGTCATGTGTGTCTCTCTGCACCTGTCTTTCTTTCTTCCTTCCTTCCTTCCTTCCTTCCTTCCTTTCTTTCTTTCTTTCTTTCTTTTTTTCTTTCTTTCTATTGTTATTGTTGAGACAAGGTCTCATTGTATAACCCCAGCTAGCCTGGAACTCTTAATGTTGACCAGGCTGGTTTCAAACTCAGAGTTCCACCTGCCTCTGCTTCCTGAGTCCTGAATTGAAGGTGTGCACCTCCAAACCTGGCTTTAGCCATTTGTTCTCAGTACTGTTCAATGATGAGCTTACATTTCAGTGAGAAACAAAAGAAACTATCAGGCTAAGAGAGGCCCATCAGTAAGCTCTGTTTAGGTGTTAAGATATAGGCAGTGTGGGCCT